CTTCATTTGGTTGGATCTATTTTAGTTAGAGATAAATTACTTGTAATTTTAAATAACTTGATCCCAAATAAACAAGGACAGGATAACCAAATTAGAAAAAAAATTTTAAAAGATCATATAAAAATTACTATATAATTTTTGTTTTTTATAATTATAGTTAGCCTTTTTGGCTTCTCACTTTTATTAGATTATAAAATTATATGATGCTCTTTTTAAGAAATCCCAGACAAGTATATTCTGATAAAGATATATTCTAGCTATACCTAAACTGGGCCAGGGCGTAGTTCATTTTTTCCGCAGCACGTGATGTAGATCAGTGATAATTCACGATTTTGTCACTTTTTGTACATCATTTTTAAAACTTTGAGCGAAGGTATCTTGATAACCATCAAGCCGGATTCAATAAGCTTTTTTTTATTCGAATTCTACAGATTCACAGAATTCGAATAAAAAAAAGCTCATCAAATTTGGCTTGGTGGTTATTGAGATACCTTCGCTCAAAGTTGTAAAAAATTCAAAATATCAATCTAAATAGAAGCTGCGCCGAAATTTTTCCAAACTTTGAGAGAAGGTATCTCAATAACCACCAAGCCAGATTCGATAAGCTTTTTTTTATTCGAATTTTACAGATTCACAGAATTCGAATAAAAAAAAGCTCATCAAATCTGGCTTGGTGGTTATCGAGATACCTGCTCTCAAAGTTTGAAAGAATTTCGGCGCAGCTTTTATTTAGATTGCCGTTTTGAGATTTTTTAAGACTTTGAATGAAGGTATCTCGATAACCACCAAGCCAAATTTGATGTGCTTTTTTTTTATTCAAATTCTGTGAATATGTAGAATTCGAATAAAAAAAAGCCCATCGAATCTGGCTTGGTGGTTATCGAGATACCTTCGCTAAATTTTGAAAGAATTTCAGCGCAGCTTCTATTTAGATTGACATTTTGAGATTTTTTAAGACTTTGAGTGAAGGTATCTTGATAACCACCAAGCCAAATTCGATGAGCCTTTTTTTATTATTTTAACTAACAGAAGGTATTTTTAATCATTAAAATAAATAAGCTATGGAATACCCGATTTATCAAAAAAAAAATTTTAACAAATTATTTTTTTTTTTTTTTTTTTTTGCACTAGCTTATCAAAACTTTATTGATGTAATATTATTCAAGTACTTTCATTCGTTATCGGCACACTAACATATCTAACATAAATTTTTCAAAACCATAATCTGAGAATAACTAAAATTACTGTATGCTACTGCTTACAGATCCCTAAAAATAATACCTCTATGATTAAGACCCGGGTATTATTCACCATCACTACCAACCTGTTTCTTGAATAAAACCCGGGATATCCAGTTCTTCACATAGTACCCACGAGTACTATTCAATTTTAAAAATGAAATTCTTGATTAAGACTCGGGTACTGTAAGCAGTGGCATACGATACATTTTAATACTTGTGCATACGATCTAAGCTAATGCTTGATGTATCATTTGTATCTCAAAGCATGTATAAATAATAGATAACGGCCGAATGTCCAATTTTGATTATTCTAAAAAAGATTATTTATTAATGCAAGTGCATTTAGAGTTTCTATATAAGTATATAGAACTTACATATTAATGGCCGAAAGTTATAGATCTAAACTTACTAAAAGCAGCTATCGAATACTTATTGCCCTATTTAATTTAATCTTGATATCCTGAAATAGAAAATTCTAATCAATGCAATATATATGCATATTTCTAAATAAGACTAGAACATATCTTTAAACTTAGTATATACATGCATATGTACATACATACGTACGTATTTTACGGCCGAAATAATTGTCTGTTAAAGATCTGATAGAAAAGAGAAAAGGCCAAAACTGTTTGTGAAATATTATAGAGAAGAATGAAAATGTATTTAAACAGCACTTTTTTTATTTTGAATTTTTATCAGAATTCAATTTTATAATAAATTATTTAAACAAATACCTTTCGTGATTTAAATATTATTTTTTTTGTCAAAATAGTTAAATGTAACTCTTGCAATAACGACCTTCAACCAGAAGCTTTCTTTCATAAAGGAAAAACTTATAAAACATGCACTGCGTGTCTTATTTCTAAAGCAGAAAAAAGAATTATAAAAAAAAATTTAGATAATAACACTACTATGACTACTACTATAGAATCGATTACACTATAAACTCTTAGTGATTATATAGCTGAATTAATTTCTAATGCTGAAAATAATAATGGAATTTCAGTTGAGGTATATTTGGATCTCAATAATGATATTTTTTCAATAGCAATGTTTGATGATTCTAAAACAATAGTAAGAATAATTATTGACAAAATCGAAGAAGGGGATGGTTATGCCTGGACTGCTACAACATCACCTAATATATCAACTCGATTTGATAATGTTGTTACGTATTATTTTGCATGTTCTCAATGTCATGAATTAGAGCGAAAATATAAAGAATCAAATCGAAAAAGAATCACAAGGTTTGACTGTCACGGCAAATTAATTATTCATGTTAATGTTCCTGCTATAGAAGCAACAATAAAACTTTGTCATGATATTCTTCATGAAGAACCAGAAGATAATACAGTATTAGAAGAAGTTAAACAAGCGATTCAAGCAAACCTTCATTTGGACTCAGTACAAATTTGAGTTATTCTTCGTAGTAAATTTGATATTCTAAATATTATTGCAAAACAAAATCATTATTGGTGATCAGTATTTACACAAAATTTATATAAAATAGATAAAGATCACGTTATTTCAGCACTTAATTTCCTTCGAACCAATAATGCCAGATGCAAGCTTTGTTTCGAATTGATAACAGATAGAGTAATTGCAATTGGCTTCATAACTCCTCTGTTTAAAAATATCTCATCTGCATCAGAAGTTCATTGTGATGTGACTTATAAAACTGCAAAAGGTCGATTTGAACTATATGGTCTTATTGGTAATATCGACGGTGCAGGATTTTCATTAGTTTATTTAATTTTAAACACTATAAAAGCTCAAGAAAAAGAATCACAAGATTACTTACGAACAAATACTCTTGCTGGTTTTTTTAATTCTATTTGAAGCCACAGGTTAAATCCTGTTTATTTTTATACTGACAAAGATTTTGCTAAGATAAATGCAGCAAAAGAAGCATGGCCAAATGCATATATACAGCTATGTCAATGGCATATTGAGCATGCAATGATAGAAAAGTTAAGAAGCCGCAAAAGAATACAACATACCAAATATCAATCTGAAGAAGCTACTACTGAGTTCAACTTTATTAATCCCAATTTCAAGCCAAATTTAACACATACTGAGCCAGAATATTATATCGTATGTCCAGAAAACCTATGAAAAGATATTATAAACCTTGTTAAAAAACATTTTAATATGCATTCAAAAATTCTAATAAATGCCGATGGTCAATTATTGACACCTACAGAAATTCGAGAAAATGCAGTATATGAATTATATGAATTTTGTGTAAAAAATGAGCTTGTAATATTATAGGCATACTTGTGGTCTTCATGGTATAAAATGTTATGATGGTATCTTTGGGCACGTTTAATCTATACAACAGTACCAATTGGAAAAACAAATATGATGATCGAATCACATTGGAGAGTACTCAAGCATTGTTATCTTAATTGCTTTAATCGACCACGATTAGACTATCTTGTATGGGTTATTTGTTTTCGTGCTCTACCTGACCAAATAAATCGTTTTCAACAAATACATCTTGGTCAAGTCACACCGAAATGGTTTGATGAATTCAAAAAAAGCTGGAATCAACTTGCTGCAAAACCTATTACTGATGATGCAAATGAACGTTATGCAATTGATTTGACTTGTTAGGTATGTAGTTGTCTTTCATTTCTTCTCAGTTGATTTCTTATTTGTAAACACCTAGTTCATTATGCAATTGAGAAAGCAACACTACAAAATTTAGAAATTAGACTTATATATAAGAATTTTAAATGACAAACAGATTATCCTTTCTTTTTTGGGATGGTAGTAAGTCAGATGATATATCACTTACCCCAGATTTTAGTCTGCAAGCACAATCTAATACAGCTTTTAGTGCTGATGGAGATAGTGAAATAGTCGACCCTGAGATTTATCAGCAATGTAAATCCAAAGTGGCTGAATTAGAGTATCTAACAAGCCATCTTAGAGAAGAACTATCTAATAATAATATAAGACATGTTAAAAATGTAATTGAAAATATGAGTCGAACATTCACTATCATTAATGATATAAAATCACCACAACATAATTTAAAACGTAGTAAGACCTGGAAAGCGAAACCGTGGACCATATTTTTGTAAAATTATTAGTTTTGATTTTTTAATTTGTACTTTAGATTATCGAATATAAATAATTATAAAATATATTAATAAAAAAAATTGGGTTACCTTAAAAAAAAAAAAACTTGATCAATCTATTTTAATAAAAAAAATGCGATTTAATATCTAATAAAAGTCTTTGATATAAAAAAACTTGATAGAGAAGGATTTCTACAAGTTAGAAATCGAAAATTTTATTATACAGTAATAAAGAGTGTCTGAAATCAGGAAGAGTATGATCAAGAGTATTTTTAAATGATTTTTAAATGATTATCACTAATTATATCTAGTGATGTACCGTTTATATAATAGTCTAATTTTTTTTGTATACAGTACGTACAGTACGTACAGTACATACAGTATAGTATATAATTAGAAATAGATATAGATCTGCATTATTACTACGGAAAAATCTTTAATATTAGGAATGGAGTGATGAATACCATGATTATTCAAGAAAGAAATTATATGCGTACCCAAAATCTAATACCTGATTGATCGTCGTGATCATAGTTGTCACATCTTGTATATTCTTCACCACTATTAAAATCACGACCCATCTTCGTCAAAGCCACGAATCTGCATTACTAAACGATCATTCACTATTAAAATCTCTGCTAAGTCATGAATTTACACAACAAATCTGAAATCAACCTATTGCTAAAATCTTTAACTTATCATTACTCAAATCATAAATACTCATTGACTTACTTATTTAAATTACTTACCACTAAAATTAACCCATTAATATTAAAAGCACTAACAGATCTACTG